ACATATTAAACGAATTAAAAGACCACATGGCTCCATCACATAGAAGCACCCACCTATCGCACCAGCTAAAACTCGCGACTTTTTTAAGATTTCTCGCCACCGGCAGTTACCAAAAATCTGTTGGTAACGAAAATATTTCGTCGATGGGGCAGTCAACTGCAGCCAACGTGATCAGGGAATGCCTAAATATTTTTGAGGACCATTTTTGCCAGAAATGGGTGAATTTTAGGAGAAACATCGATGAGGAAAATGCAGTTAAAGAATATTTCTTTGAGAAATACGGAATACCTGGGGTTATTGGTTGTGTTGATGGAACACACGTTCGTATTAAGTCGCCAGGAAGTGACAACCACCATTTATACCTCAACCGCAAGGGTTTTTACAGTCTTAATGTAATGGCGGTAGGTTAATGATTTACTATCTTTACAAGTATACATATACACAAACTGAGTTTCCTTACAGATATGCGATCACAACATGGTAATCACATTTGTTGACGCTAGGCATCCAGGGGCGAATCATGATTCATTTGTTTGGAATGTGAGTCACGCAGAACAGGAGCTAAAATCTGATTATAACAATGGAAAAACCAACACATGGCTACTCGGTAAGTTTTAAAACTTAAAAAGGCTATAAAACTATTACTGACAATGAAAATTTTTGTAGGTGATTCTGGTTACCCCTTGCAGCCATACTTGATGACGCCATTCAGAAACGCAGCCGATGAAATTCAACGAGTTTACAACACAAAGCACTCGAAAGCTCGTAATGTAATTGAGAGATGTTTCGGTGTTTTGAAAAACCGATTTCGATGTATAATTGGCTCGAGAGGGCTACACTATTCACCAGAAAAAGTTACACAAATTGTAAATGTGTGCTGTGCTATTCATAACGTTTGTATATTTTTCAAACATCAAATTCCATTGGAGAGCCCAGATATGGAGAATCTTGTTAGTTACGAAGAAGAACTGGAAAACAGTAGTAGAATAGCAGAGAGTTTGTTATAAACGCAGTTTTATTATAAAGTATGTGTGTTTAGAATTCAGGTACACCACAAAATTCATTTGTCTTGAAATTAATAAAATATTTTCATAAAAATTCAACAAAATATCTTTTCAGTCTTAAATCCTAAATCTACATATAAACTAAGTAAATGTAACAAAATATCAATTCACACTTAAATCTAAAAAATATTTACACAAAAAAAAACAAAATATCACTTCAATACTCTCACAATAGTGGTATGAAAATTAATTCCGGAAGTACTCCAAAAATTTTTCAAAAATTTCAGATTGGCGTTCCACTGCAGCAGTTAATTTGTTTGTGGCATCCACCTGCAGCATTGATGCCTCTGCCATTTTTTTTGCAGCCTCAGCCTGCACTTTAGCGGCTTCTGCTTGGACTTTGGCAGATTCAGCCACTGTCTCTTGGAAGGTGCGCTTCTTATTAGTGGAACGTAACGTGTGCGTTGGTGTAGGACGGGTTGTCTATGTAGTGGGAGTCACTACTCCCACTGGTGGTGGTTGGTTGTGCCTTATAGGAGATTGAAGGGTGGTTGTTTGTTGCCTTCGTTGGTCAAGTTTTGGCGATTCAGTCACAAGTAAAGGACGCATTTCCTCCAACGACGAATGTCTTGACATGTTAGAGGTCGCCGTCGAAGGAATGCCGAAAAATCTGCCGCTCGGGGCTGCTGACCTCGAAATAAAAACCAGGCTGTCTATGGCCTGCTCAATTTCGGAAAGCGGAGAGTGACGGAATGGGCCACCACCGGTAGCAGTAAGGCTTCGTTTGTTTTCGGCAATCTTCTTTTTTGTCCGGCTTTTCAAGTCAGCCCATATCTTGAAAAATAAATAATGCGCAAGCATTTATCTACCACATACAATTTATGCACTTATGCTTACTTTCTTCCATTCGACGGCCGTTCTTGTAGGAGGACCATGAGAATTAATTTTCCCCATAATTTCCTCCCACCGCTCCTCTACCCTTCCTCGATCAGATCCAAACACTGCAACACCTCTGGCCAGGTCAGGATTTCTCTCCATTTCTTTTACCAGTACTTCAAATTGAGTGGTTGTAGTTTTTTTCAGCGCTACAAGCATAAATATTAATATATTTCCTTAAACCAAGTTATATTTTTTATTTTCTTACTTTTCCTGGCAGAACCCTCCATCTTAACGATCACTAATAACCTTTCGTCTGTTTTCAACGATTGTCGTCTCACTTTCGTCTTCTATTCGCCTTAAAAAATTCCAAACTAGGCGAAAACTACGTAACGATCAGCTGTTTTCGTGCTGCCAGACGATTTCGACTTACATACTACCAACACACGAAAGAAACGTCTGGCAGACGAAACGAACGTTCGCTTCGAGATACATGATTAGGCTGATAATTTTGCCAATTTTTACCACAAAAGCTTCTTTCAATAGTCCTAGAACAGAGCTGGGCAGCTACGACAGAGAATTTTTGTAGTGTGCGTGCAATTGATGTCACTGTGTGCGTGCGAACAAGTCGTGCGGTTGAATGAAGCTGTCGCTGCCCTGCAGGAAATGCAGCTAACTATAAGCTAACTTTAAGTTGATTAGGAAGGAGCTAAAAGTCACTTATTATCTGTATATTTTTTTGACGAAATCTAACTATATTTCTATGGCGATGGCCGCGAAATAGTCAAGGGTGGTTTACCTCTGCATTAGATGTAGTCAAGGGTGGTTACCTCTGCATTCGATGTAACTAACTAGTTTTGGACATAAAATATCAATAGGAAAAAGAAAATTTTTTTTTTATTATATTTTTTTATTTTTATTTATTTTATTACATTTCATATTTGTTTACATATTCTGCTGTAGGTGGTCCCATATTAAACTCCGTCAGACATAACTTCAAAATGATAATATGAAATTTCGATCTTCCTTTTATTTGTCCTCAATTCGAAAAAGTATTTGCGAAGTGCAGGATATTTAAATAGAAACGCGTTTAAAGAAAACAATCTCCTTCATTACTCTTGCATTACTTGTCAACAGTTTCACGTAAGCTTTTTGCAGCTAACTACTAGTTATATATTTTATAGAAATCTCTAAAAAAAGCTAACTGCAAGTGGGTTATTTTTTATCAATTGATAATTTTTTCTGCAGGGTGCCTTCTAAAGCAGAGCGTGTATGTATACGCGAATAAAAGCCTGATTATGGCAACGTAACTTAACTTAACGGAACGCAGAACTTAGACAAGCAAAATGAAACAGATTTCGACGGGGAATGAGGAATCAATATGAATATCCTTATGATCGAACACTTCGTTATCGAGATTTTGCAAGTTCAAAATAAGTTGAAAATATAACGATGGAATGAAAAAAATTATCGATAACATTTTGAATATTTAGCAACAAATGCAGATGTGCTTAAGTCGAAAAACACCACACACGCGGCTTGACAAACCAAGCGAAATATTCCTTTGCTTAAAGCTATTTATGTTGTGTATGGGGGTTTTTGAAGGTTTGACAAGCCATTTGAGGGAAATGTGACCAAAAAAAAAATTTTTTATTTTCTGGCCGCCATATTGACGTTTGATTTACGTTGTGTATGATAAAATCGCTTCATTCGCAACGGAATTTTTACCGATTGAGGACGCAAGAGAGAAAAATTTTAGAAAACCAAACCCTTTTACATTGTGAACCGGAAGAAAACTAAAATTCTTTGCTTGAGCGAGTCATGTTTGCATGGTGTATGGGGAAATGGGAAAAGTAGTTTTGAAGAATGTTTGACAAGCCGCTTGTGTGGTGTATTTTGCTCTTTATAAAACTTCGGAAAGTTTTTTGTTCAAAAATTTGCAGAGCGATTTAACAACTCTCTCGTGTGTAAAACATGGTTGCATTTGTTATCTGCATATATGTCGAGAGAAAATTCCTTAAAAATTCCCCAAAATAAAAATCCTCAAAAAATACTCAAGCGCTACCGAAATTCCTTCCGTTTTGAGGAATTACTCACTAAGAGGCAACACTGGTTCAATTATAAGCAACATCCTTTTAACAGAATTTTTAAGAGAGAGAGTAAGTTACGTTAAGTTACCATAATCAGACCATAAGTCAATTAGTTCCTAAACGTGCGCAGGAGCACTCAAACTATACCGGAGAGTAATTCGAGCGCCGATCAGCTCAGACGGTGTATTTTCTCTCAGGCGGCCACGGTAGAAAAGGAAAGCCAAAACTTAAGGCCTGATTATGCATACTTCGCATAACTTCGCACAACCTTTTGTACCAGTCAATGGAAATGTAACTTAAGAAAATGTGAAGCAAAATCGAAACTCAACAAATCGCTAAGTTTTTAAAAGTTTTGCTAATTTCTGGGTGATGGTATAAATACAAAGTACATACGAAATTACAGTTGAAGTTTATGCGAAATTGTGCGAAGTATGTATAATCAGACCATTAAACATTGATAATATTGAAAATTTCGAAATGCAGTGTATCCACCATAAACTCTTGGATCTAAGTTAAAGAATTCAAAGATTAATTAGAAGAAAGTCCTTTTTTTAAACGCGCGGATTTTGCTTTACCTTACTAATTTTACCTTTAAGGAGAGCTGGAAGTAAAACTTTTCAGAAAAATTTTGCGAAGAAATTTTTTATAACACGAGTTCTTATGATCAATTAAATAACTGAAATTGCAGACTTTAGCAGTTTGTAAAATATTTTTAGTTCACTGTCTAGTTTATATAAATATGTGCATACATCTCCACATATATATACATACATATAATACGCTAAGGCATTTTTTGTCCAGGATAAAAGATCTGCACCGTTCGCTCGATTTTCAAAAATGGGGTGTCAAATTAAAGCGCTTGGCCTGTAGATGTGCAAACTGGTTTTATTTTAATCAATCCATTATATCCGCGTTCGCTCGATTTTTCCAAAAAGAGGTGTCAAATCAAACGGCTTGGACTGCAGATGTGCTGTAACATCTTACTTTTCTGAAAAGAGTTGCCACCCTTTAAAAATTATATTCAAACTATTTAAAAAATGAATCACTTATTACAAAATGGGTATCAATCGAAATGGGTTTGAAAAGCTTTGTTTCTTAACTGAATAGAAGGGTAGCCATCTGTTTAAAAAATCAAATTCAATTTGAAATAAGGGAATTAGGTAATATTTATCACCATATGGGTGCCAAACAAAGGGGTTTTCAGAAAGTAGTAGTTTGAAAATATTTTTACGAGGGTTTCACCATGCTTGAAATGTCGAAGTTTTATGAAATATCAAAATATGGATGTCAAACGAAGGAGTAATAAGATATCTTTAGTTTGAACGCTACGAGTAGTTTTGAGGTGTTCGAAGAGGACTGCCACCTGTTTAAAAAGTTAAATTCAAATTATTTAGCTAGTTAAATGAATTATTAAAATATGGGTATTAATCGAAAGGGGTTTGAAAATTTTTTTCGGAACTATATTTAGTGCGGTTGCCACATGTTTGAATAATCATATTCCACTTAATTCATCAGTTAGTTAAAATATTGATCGCAATGTCCGACGAAAGATAGTTAACAAGGGCTAAGCTTTAAAATACTTTTGAAGAGGGCTGCCACCTGTTCGAAAGGTCTAATTTAAATACCTAATACAAAAAGTTTATGAAATATAACAAATAGTTAAAGAAAATTATGTTAAGAAATCTTTAGTTTGAACCATGATAAAAAAATAGGAAGGTAGAACCGCTGAGAGGAATTTTTCAAATTCTTGACGTTTGCAAGCAATTTTATTTTAAAATTTTACACACAAACTCACACACACTTTCTCATTTTCAATCTCAAACAACAACAACTTTGAACAATTCCTTTTTTTTACTCTCAATTTTATACGATTTTAAAATGTTGGCAAACTTAAAAAAAAAATCATGGCCGACGTATTGAGAGAACGGTTTTACCTTACTATGCTTTTATCATGGTTTGAACTTTTGGAATACTTGAAGAGGGCTGCCACGTGTTTAAAAAGTTACATTCAAATTATTCAATAACTTGGATGAATTATTAAAATATGGGAATCAATCGAAATGGGTTTGAAAATGCTTTATTTCTGACCTTTATTTAGGAAGGTTGCCATGTGTTTGAACAATCAAATTCAATTTAGTTCATCAATTTATTGAAATACATGTGTATCACAATGTCAGGAGAAAGAGATTTAATTTTAGTTTGAGAATACTTTTGAAAAGGAATTTCAAAAATGTAAGGTCAAGTTAAAGACCTTAGGCTGTATATATATGTGTGATAAAATTTATTTTTTTTTAATTAAGTACTTTTTTCAACGGTCTAGGGTGATTCGAAATTTGATGAAATTAAAAACCTGCACTATGCGAGACCTCTTTTCACTCAGAAACGGCTGCACGGTTTTAGATGAAATATGACACTCGGATCTCTTATAACTCCGACTAACTTTTGCAATATCATTTAAGTTTTTGAAATTCAATTTTGGGCGTTGTTATAAGTGTTTTGGGTGGTGTTATAAGTGTCATAGCAACGAATTCGAAATAAATATATGTGTGCACCTTATTTTGGTTTTAAAAGTCTTTTTCAGCAATTAAACTTATAAAATCCGTCGTTTTATCAAAATTGCGGAAAATGTAAAAACAACGTTACGTCAAAAAATGCCCAATTGCGCACTTTCGCTACAATTATAACGAGTTGTCCCTTCTTGTTATCAACGTTCTTTGCTATTAGTACTATTTAGCTCTTTTTCTCGACCATTTTAACTCCAAATGAAATTTTTCTCTGGCAATACTGGTCAGTTGGCACAGAATAGAAACGGCGCTTGCTTTATTTGATTAGACCAAGAACGCGGGGATTCCTGGGATTAACTTGGCGAAGATGGTCCAGGCGCTTCAGCCTTGAAATAGGGGTGTTGGATTATATATTTCAATCTCGCTGGAGACCACTTCAGATCAGTGGAATTATTTTTGCATGCCTTGTAGCCACTTGTCGGCTCAGTGGCGGTGTGCAGTCCAGAGGATCGTCTAAAGTAGCACTAGGCAGTAATTGCATTTTACTGATGTCACGTTCTGTCATTGGCTCTTATTTTTTACATGGTATCCAGAATCCGGGTATCCGCCGGTACATACCTATTTGAAGCTGTTTAATCAGTTTTTTTTTTTTGAATTTTTTTGAGTACGCAGTTTTTTTAATTTCAGAATAATAAAGTGTAAGTTTGAAGTTGCTAGGACTTACCGTTGATTTTTGGCATCCTTGAATTAATCGCTGAATTCCTAAATCCTTCGGGTTCTTTTCACTGGATTGTTAAATTGTTTACGTTACAAAAATACTTTCATCATTATTTTAAAATCTACGGTTACTTTTTAGTAACAAATTGTATTCAATACAACACATTTATAGTCAGCAGAAGCTCCATATTTTTACAATATTTTTTGAACTATTTATTTTACATTGAATTAGAAAAAGACTATGGAACAAGTACTGCAATGATACGTATGCATAAGCGATATACCTCTTTTAATACATATTTATGTATGTAATTAAACAAGTGAATAGATTCTTCAATGATTATTTGTTTTGTAATATTATTTAGTAATTTGTTTATGTTTTTCTTTTATTAGTATAAAAGTTTATCAAAAACATTTGTTCTTGAATGAATTTATATTCAGGTTGTTTCTTTTTAAGGAATTGGCATCGCCGATTCTTTGCCCTCCGGCCGATTAATCGGCATCGGCAGCGGCCAAAAATTGGAAATCGGTCGGACGCTAAACTGCATACTCAAAAAATGTATAAGCAACTTTGCAGAAGTTTTATAATTCTCGTACAATATTTGAAATGTGACTTTATATTGGTTTTTGTTAGATAATGAGCTGCACTTTTATAAAAAAAAAATAATAAATATGAAATAAACAAAAGAATCTCCGTCAGGAATAACAATTTAACAAACCAAAAACGTAGAATATATAGAATGGTCGCACGGAATGAAGAGGACCCTCGACAAAAATATTCCCGTACAAATCGATTTGTGTAGACCGACGGACGCCACACTGGCTTTTTAAAGTCACAAATCCATTTTAAATAGATAGCCGGAAAGTTGGTCTGGGGTTTACTACAGGTCGTATGATCATTACGTGATATGCATTTACGAATATGCCCATGCATAAGTATTGGACTCTACTGGTTCGTCCATGGCAGAGGCGATTATTTTCTTCCCTTTTCATCCAAACTTTACACAATAAATTTTATAAACAGAACTTATAAGCTTATAGCAAAAGCCAAAGGTTGTCTCACTACATTCTTGTTGTTAAATTTGAACATATGCATACACACAAACATATTAAGATAATGATAACTATTTAAGTTACCTAATACTTTACAGTATATTTTGCTTAGCCGCACATCCTTCTTTGCACGAAAAACTTGTGCACGTAACCGAAAAAGGCACTTAAGCGAATTTTCTTTACTACTTCAAAGAGGAAGGTATCCGAATCCCTATGAAACCAAATATTGGCGGAGCACTTACCATGTAGAAATTACTGCAAGCGAAATTTTTACCGAATGTTATCTAATTATCTATATAACTACATAAATTGATAGCCATTTTTGTTGTTCTGCGAGACAATTTTTAAGGCAGGTATCGCCAACGTGCAGGTATGTTGAATGCATCTATCGGAGCAGTTTCCTTATAAATGTTAAAAATAATGCTTTTGATGCGCATTTTGGGGTAGGTATCTTAAATGTGCACTTAAGCATAGATGCAGCAAAGCAAAATATACTGTATATGCTTCTGCCAAATTTAAAATACAATCCTAATATTCTTCTAACGACAACCGGTTCCTGAACAGCTTCACTCCTATTGTTATGAATACATACATATGTACATATGTATGTACCTCTCTTACACACTCTTCGCTCAAATGCATATATAAATCTAACTAAAGGTGCCCACATTCATCGACGTGTACGTATGCCGTGTCCGTTTAGGTGAAATTAGTCAAGAACGTAAACCTACCGGTACGTAAACCCGAGTCAGCTGACACGATCTGTCAGCTGATTTCTTCCTTCTATAGATGGTCGCCACTTCGTCAGTTTTGCAGATGGTAAAACAGTTATAAGTTACTGTTGAATAAGATTTTTTGTTGAAAACTAAGTAGTTTATATTTAGCTACGATCTATTATAACACGAAAAATTGTAGTTGAAAAGGTAAGTTTATGAAAAGGCATTGATGAGTGGCAACACTGTAGTAAGCAACACTGAGGGCTCCAGTAATCTACGAAATTCTGCGAATACAGACTGCGTTTAGCTTTACGTTCTGCGTTCTTGACTAATTTCAGCTTTTGACGTAGCAAACACGGTGGTGAGTTTTGATTTACATGGCGCTCTCATAAGTTTGATCGTGTCAGCTGACACTTTAACGTACGTGTACATGAAAACTCACCACCGTATACGTGCGACGTTTACGCGTGCTTCTCTCTCTCTCTCTATTAACAGTAAATTTTATATGTTGCTACGTGCTACGGTGAGTATGGGCACCTTAAACGTTTACATTTGCGAACAAGTTCTACATATTTAAGCCTGGCGTTCATTTAACTATACTTCACAGCTCAGCAACTTTACCCATTCGTGAGATATCAACGAAGCTTTGCGGTTGTTCAGCCGGTCTAAGTAACAGATTTCCTTTGAATATCATTATTCTCCAAAGACGTAAACAAAAACTAAGTGAAATTTTGAAAATAAAATGGATACAACAAGTGCACGTCCCCTTTTGGCTATATACAATGAGCCCCCTGCTACTGAGGTTGAGAGTAGTAGCTTTGCTACGAACCTTTTAACCCTTGACAATCCCGTCTTTTGCTGTTTCTTATTCTGGGCTAGCATACTGGTGATGAAGATGCTGCTTATGTCGTTGTTGACAGCACTACAACGGTTTCGACATAAGGTATGTAAAATTTAGATGCAACCAGATGGTATTTATAATTCTATTATAGGTCTGATTATGCATACTTCGCATAACTTCGCACAACCATTTGTACCAGTGCAATAAAAATGTAACTTAAGAAAATGTGAACAAAATCTAAACTCAACAGATCGCTAAGTTATTAAAATTTCTGCTAATTTCTGGGTAATGGAGTACATACAAAGTATATACGAAATTACAGTTTGAAGTTTATGCGAAGTTGTGCGAAGTTATGCGAAGTACATATGCATAATCAGGCCATATGCTTGTTTTGGCAGTATACTTAAGTATATTATATGTATTTTGATTTAAATTTATTATTGAAGAATTTCAATAGGTACATGTACATACATATGTACCTTTAGTTTATTAATTATAACCAGTTTCATTCAAAGCTCTATCGATTCTCAAGAGCAAAATGAAGATATTAAACTGCGTATAAAATTTAATACATTCTAGTACATACACACATATATATGTACATACATACATTCGCTAAAGTTAATTTAAAAAACCAAACAAAATTCAAATAAAATTTCGCTGATTTAAAAACTCTATTTTGGTCCTGTTTTTTTTTTTTAAGTTGGCTTCAATCAAAATGGGGATCTGAAATACTTAATGGACTTTCTTTTTAAATACATATTTTTCATAGACTCGCAAATTAATCTTATTTTAATTTTGATTCTGGTTATTTTAAAAAGACCGTTGAGTTTTCATTTCATGTGAAAAATAATAGGGACACGACATTTTGACCAGGTTTGGTTATTTTTCTTTTGTTTGTTTAAGGTTTATTATTTTTTCTTTTATAAAACTAAAGCTAACCATCTAACAAAACCCATATAGGTAAGTCCAAATTTCAAACTTTGTTGAAAAGTAAGATAAATTCAACATTTTACAACGACAACTAACTTTTTATTAAGAATTTCAAGAAAAAAACCTCAGTATGCAGTTACAGTGAACCCCGCTTAAGTACCTAACCCGCTTAATTAACCAACATTTTTGTGCGCCGTGAATTTTTTTATGTAATCTGAAGAAATTCCCTCTCTTAAGTACCTCCCCGCTTATTTACCCAACCCGCCTAAGTACCTAAATTTTTCGTACCTCATTTCCCATTTACTTATAATTTTCCCCTTTTAAGTGCTCTTTGAAGATTCCTTAAAATACTTACATACATATTCTGAAATTCAATGGCAACGCTACACACCTTCGGCAAATAAATTCAACAAATCAACGGTAATCTTTAGCCACTTGAAACTTGCACATTATTAAACTAAAATTAAAAGGGCAGTAAAACTTTATATTCAAAAAACTCTTCTGAGAAAAAACTTTGAAATTTTGATGCATTTTTTTAAGTGTTTTACAAAATCTTAAGCTTAGGTTTATTAATTAATTAATCCCAACGGCTTTTTACCCTCCATTCCCGCCCAACCGACACGAGGGGCGCAGTCCGCATAACGTACGGAACCTTTTTTTTTGTTTTTTGTTTTTTTGGTGCCGAGTAGTGGAAACAGGAGTTGGTTAAGTGTCGAGATCTAAAACTATTCAGCTACAGAATCAAATTCATCAGCTGATTGGATATGCTAAAGATAGTATTTCAATTATTGAGAGTGGAAATAATAGTTTTCTTTATAGTAAAAATCGAGTCCGATACGTCAAACGTGCTGGAATGACAGTTAAAATCCTGACATAAACCACGGAATGATTCGTTTAGTTCAAAATTAGTTTTGCATGGCTTTAAAAAGAGAGGTCGAAAGTGTCTTGACACTCGAGAAGGAACATTAAAATTTACCTCAGCCAGGAGGGCCGGGCTATTAATCAAGCCTGTCATTAATTTTACGATAAATATTATACCTAGCATTTCTCTACGGCTTGCGAGTGTAGGCAAATTTATGAGCTTTAGACGACTTGTGTAAGGGGGGGAGATTGTAATCTGAATCCCAGTTAAAATTACGCAATGCAAAAAGCAAGAATTGTTTTTGAATTGATTCAATCCTTTCTGAATTAACTTGGTAGCGGGGATTCCAAACAATAGATCCGTATTCTAGTATAGGTCTAACTAAACTGGTAAAAAGAGCTTTTGTAACATAAGGATCTTTGAACTCTTTTGACCATCGCCTTACAAATGCAAAAACGCCTTTGGCTTTATTGACTGTGACATTATGATGGTTGAAATTGAGTTTGGAATCCATTGTGATACCAAGATCGACAAAATTGGACACCTGCTCCAGATTATAATTTGATATTGAATAAACAGCTGGTTGAACAGCCCTCCGAGAGAAACACATAACTTTACATTTTTGAAGGTTTAGTGGCATATAGTTTGTATTACACCAACTAACCACGTTGTTCAGATCCGCTTGTAACAAAGACCTTTCTTCGATAGAGGACAATGTTTTAAAAAGTTTCACATCATCGGCATACATTAAAATTTTTGAATGTTTTATTGTAGAAGAAATATCATTAATGAATATCAGGAACAGAATCGGACCAAGGTGGCTTCCCTGAGGAACCCCTGAAGAAACTTTAATGATGTTGGAAGAGCAATTATTAACAATAACTCTTTGTGTTCTATCAGAGAGGTAAGATGAGATCCATTGAAGAAGACTGGGCTGAAAGACGATTAGGTCGAGTTTACGGATGAGTAACGAGTGACATACTTTGTCAAAAGCTTTACTGAAATCGGTGTATATTACGTCGGTATGAGCATTTTCTCTAAAACCGTTTGAGACATGAGTTGTAAACTCCAATAAATTAGTCATAGTAGATTTTCCTTTAGAAAACCCGTGTTGAGATTGTGTAATTGAAGAAAATATAGAATATGTCAGCTGGTTAACAATAATTGCTTCGAATAATTTGGGGATAGCGGAGAGTTTCGCTATGCCTCGATAGTTTTCTATAGAGGACCTGCTGCCGTTTTTGTGAAGTGGTATTATGAAAAACTCCTTCCAGGCTGACGGAAAAACGCCATGTTTAAGTGACAAATTGAATAGAGTTGTTAAAGGCTCGCAGATGTTCTCAGCGCAGTTTTTAAGAAAACAGGTCGGAATATGATCAGGTCCAGGCCTAAATGACGCTTTTAAGGTTTTTAAATAGTGTAAAACTTCATCGGAAGATATTACTGGAATATATATATATATATATTTACGAAACCATAAAATGATTTAGGATTGTTAATTAAATTCTTCTTAATTTTACATAAATATGAATTATAACATTTCTTATTTAAAGCAAAGTAGCTATGCGGCAAAACTGAGCACCTTAGGTAATCACTGTGTAAGCCCGTTCTTTTATACAGTTTAAAAGAGTGCGACTTTTTATTTTTAAATTTTTTAAGCTCTTTAGTGAACCATAATTGTATTGGTTCTTCATGAACAATATTACGTTTTGGCACATACTTTCGAAACAAATTGAAAACAGTATCATTAAAGTGCTCAACGCTACGCTCCACGTCATCTCTATATATTGGCCAAGATAAATTTGAAAGTTCTTTGTTAATTTTCCTGAAATTTGCTTTCGCAAAAACATATCTAGTACTTGAACTTGACTTATTATTATGTATTTCATTTATGATTTCGTAGCTTAACTCCAGAGCAGGATGGTATGCATCTTCCGGCAAAACTAGGGGATCACACCGATTAATAGAGGCCTTCGGAATATCATCAACGTAAACGAGATCCGAGAGACCTTTCCAAACTTATTTGGACATATATTTATTTGTTTGAGGCAAAGTTCAGCCATTTCCTCGAGAAATACATTGTAACTATCTCTAGATGAAACTGGTACAACATCGGTGTCAATGATATTCCATGAAATGTGTGGCAGATTTAAATCGCCCAAAACAATCATAGAATCGGATGCCGTAAGCATTGTATTTACGGTCTCAAGTAAAGAAACTAGCTGCATATATACTGATACGGCAGAATTAGGAGGGATGTAGCAAAGAGCTAAATAAATATAAGTCTTTCCAGCCTGTACACGTATACATTTAAATTCGGTATATTCAATGGCAGGAACACTAACTTCCTCCGATGGTATCGATGAATGCACCGCAAAAAGAACACCACCGCCGATTCTGCCCTCGCGGTCGCTCCTGTATATTTGATATTCATTTGGAAGAATTTCGGAATTAAAAATATGAGGTTTGAGCCATGTTTCGGTCAAGGAAATAATATTATAATTGCAGTCAAAACCTTTTAAATATAAGTCAGTTAATTTGGTATTCAAACCTCTAACGTTTTGATAGTAAATACTTAAATTAGACTTGCGAGTTAGTTTTTTGAATCCGAATTAAGATTAGAAATTTTAGCTACGTTATTATTACTTTTATTAGGTTTATACTCAAACTCGCGAACAAACGCCCCGGTCGGCCAAAATGAACTATTTAGTAGTGAATCAAAATCTTCGGAAGCTACATCAATTTTAAAATATGAAATATCGCGATCGTATTTAAAATTAAATTTACGAATAAATACATCTTTAGTTCTAATTTTAGTCGATATGTATGACTTTATATCATCCGAGGAAGTATCTTTAGCAAATCTAGAGACAAAGATTGATCTTCTCGGAGGAATTACAACCAACTTTTTGGTAATGGTGTCTGATGTGCGGGGCTCCGAATTATTAGGAGGAACTAAGTTAGACAGTGCAGCTTGAGATGTTGATGCTAGCACTGTTAAATCAACGATTTGACTATTTTTAGAAGTAGACCTAGTGGATATGGCTTTAGATATCAGAGGCTCCAATGCCTGAGGGCATGGAGAAGATAGATTAATAAGTTCCAAGGACTGGGATGGAGGATTTTTTTTACTAGAATCCGTGGCTGTCTTTTTAGGTGGACTAATAACACGCCCACCTTTATTTTCTCGGCTATCCTCAGAATGCGGAGGGTTGTCGAGACAAGTGAAAGACCTAAATATTTTTTCGTAATGCTTAAATTTCTCAACAAGCACCGACAGATCCTTCCCGATCTCAGAAAAACCATT